AGCTGACAGTAGGTCTGATGTCGGGTTTCTCACTCTCTAGGACGGGGATAATAGAGCAAAGTGAATAGCTGTTATAAAAAAAAAAAAAAAAGGCAGCAATTTAGAAGTTGTCCAAACAAAGCAAATAGAATACTCAAATGGAAAATCCAGGGAATATGTCATGGAGGGTATAACTTCAGACATCGGAAAGTGTGTAAGCCTACACACTTTGACCACACTCAGTTCATCCACCCCCCAGATTCTCCTGTCCCCCCACTCCTCCCCCGGGTTTAGCTATTTGCTGGGTGGGGCCTATGGCCGCCGCTGACTTTTCAGCTCCTAGCGCTGCCCGCCCCTGCAGACCTCTCCAGGGTGTGGGCTAGCTTTGGGACAGTCTCCAGAACAGCCGCCGAGGATGGAGCCTCACGAGCTCCCGTGCCAGCGCCCTGTCTGACTGACCCACCGAGTCTGTGGCGCCTCCTTCCATTTCTGGTCCAGACGCCAGGCCTTTCTGAACTTCCCGCGCTTCCGCGTAGTAGCAGGCGTTTCTCTGAAGCGCAAGGGACTTCATGCCCGACGGGGTCAATCTGACCAACAAGACAGAGACAGGAACAGGCTAGCGAGGCCCTCTCTCCCTGATGGACTGTGCCAAGGCATGCAGCTCCGTGCCCGTCCGAAGCCTTTCCCCCTGACTGCGCAGCTCAGCGGGCAGCACTGTACCTCTGCTCGCCCCTCCGGGCCCTGCCTTCCCAGCTCCTTCTCTCTCGCAGCCCTGATAGAGCACCTTCCAGTCATGTCTTCCCGAGGTCGGCCGCAGACTCTTTTTTCCTAAAGAAGCTGGGCAAAGGTTCAGCATGACGTTTTTTGGTGTTTTTTTCTTTTTAAATATAATTTATTGTCAAACTGGCTTCCCTACAACACCCAGTGTTCATCCCAACAAGTGCCCGCCTCCCTGCGCATCGCCCACTTCCGCACCCCCCCATCCACTGTCAGTTTGGTCTTTGTATTCAGGAGTCTCTTGTGGTTTGCCTCCCCCCCCCCCCCGTTTGTAACTGTTTTTCCCCCTTCCACTCCCCCAGGCTCTTCTGTTCAGTTTCTCAAGATCCACATGAGTGAAAACATAGGATGTCTGTCCTTCTCTGACTGACTTATTTCACTTAGCATAATACCTTCCAGTTCCATCCACGTTGCTGCACGTGGCAGGATTGTATTCTTTCCAGCATGAGGTTTTCCAAGCAAAGTAGGGAGAAAGAAAGGCAGTTATGCTGACGCCTGGCACCAGCAGTTGAGGTCAAGTCTCCCAGGCCTGCCTGTGCAACCGAGAGAGTCCTGTACCCCTGGGCCTGCAAAGGCTCCTGCTGGGCCCTCGATGGGCACACCTTCCCCTCCCCACCACACCCACCAGCTGCAGTAGCACAGTATTAATTTCTCCCTGTGCTTTCTGTGTTTTACAAGCTCATGGTCCATGTGGAATTATAAAACACAGGTCATAAGAAAGACATTCTCCTTATTCCTCAAGTTCCAGCTTAAAAACTGCCATGTTCTTGAAGCCAAAAGTAAACTCTCCCTACTCTGTGCGGCCCAAACTATTTTTAAAACATTTTTTTTTAAATTTTTTTTTTCAACGTTTATTTATTTTTGGGACAGAGAGAGACAGAGCATGAACGGGCAAGGGGCAGAGAGAGAGGAGAGGGAGACACAGAATCGGAAACAGGCTCCAGGCTCCGAGCCATCAGCCCAGAGCCCGACGCGGGGCTCGAACTCACGGACCGCGAGATCGTGACCTGGCTGAAGTCGGACGCTTAACCGACTGGGCCACCCAGGCGCCCCTAAAACATTTTTAAAATTATTTTTTAAATGTTTTATTTCTTTTTGGACAGAAATGAGGGAGGAGCAGAGAGAGAGAGAGAGAGAGAGAGAGGATCTGAAGCGGGCCCAGCACTGTCAGCAGTGAGCCAGATGTAAGGCTTGAACTCATGAACTGTGAGATCATGACCTGAGCTGAAGTCAGATGCTCACCGACTGAGCCATCCAGGTGCCCCCCAAACTAATTGTTTTTAAGTCACTTTCCAGCATTTATCACATATTGTCATGTATCATAGATGATTGTTGGATATCATTGTATCTGTCAGATAAAAAGCTCCTTGAGGGCAGGGGCCATGATTTAGCTTTGCATCTTCTACAAAACTTATCATAGAGTAGTGTATACAGTAGGCACTCAGCAGTTATCATTTGAATACATTTAGAAACATACCTGCAAGGTTAAGGGAATGCTATAGATATGTTCTTTAAATTATGGTAATCAAATAATGAGTTATTGTAATAATCAAAAATTCTTTTGTGAAACCCACCAGCAACTCTAGAATATTCCCACAGCTCAGTGCAAGGTCACGTTCACATGACTCCGGTCATGCTGTGAATCTCCAAGCACCTGACAGTACAAAGATTCTCAGAGGTTCCTGAGGTCAAGGGCATTAGAATCCATTCAGACACCATGGAATAAAGCTTTAACTGCATTGGGCCACAGGATAAACAATTAGAGAGGGATCTTCTAATTCATTCAATGAATATTGTTGAGCATTTTGTGATAATGAAATAAATGCTTTTAAAATATGAACGATATAGGGACCACAGATATAGTTGTCCATAGGAACATGTAAAGGTGATGAATTTCCTCCCCCCGGTTTCTTATTTACAAAGTTGGTTTCTCTTCCATTTCACAGCGTCCAGTTAATTGCAAGGAATTTTTGGAGTCGTTACAGCAGGTAAGTGAAGGAAGAAATTGAAAGAGAACGTGAAAACTGTTACTAGAAGTATTAGTAATTGCCATGTGTAGATGAATAATTAGACTCCATAAGACATAGAAGCTTGACGTTGCTCATAAAAAAAAAAGTGTTTTAATTTTCTCAAATCTTTGACTCTGAGAAGCCTTTTCAGCCTCTCATTATGTAACAAGACTGGGCAGGCTTCCTTTTTTTTTTTTTTTTTTTTGCCATTGACATCTTCCAAGGAAAATGCTGCATGGTATGATTTTCAAGGCTAATTTGCCTTATTGTCTTAAGCAGTGTCCCTTACTACAAATTAGCCTCCTGTACCTCTGTGAGCTAGAGAGGCTCCTTCAAAATTCCTAACAGGCAGCCTGGTGGAGAGATGGGAGGGAAAGGAAGGGAGGGAGGAAGGGCGGGAGGGAGGGAGGGAGAGAGGTAGAGGGTGCCTGTCTGCTTCGTACATGTGGTACAGCCTGGGAGATCAGAACGCTAACAGAACAGGCAGTGTAATTACATGTTCCTTGTAAGTATGTTAGCCCCACGGGGAACTAAGCTGGCCAGTCCACTTGGAGAGGGAAACTAGATTTAAGGATGGTGGAGGGGTCATTGCATAACTGACTTATTCCTCGGTGGTGATGAGGGCATTTGCTGATCCCCAGTAACTGCCTGGTGCTTTTGGTCAGGCTCGGCTCTCTCACTCCCAGATACTTGCTTTTTGCAAAAGGGACACACCTTTCTGCAGGAAGAGAAGACACTGACCAGATTGCGAGCGGTAGGTAGTGACATTCAGCATGTTTATGCAGCAGAATTGCTGAGAGATTGTGGGGTGGGAGTTTGGGGGGGGGGGGCTGGTGGTAGTGGTGGTGATCGGGTTGGTTGATTTATCTGCAATAGGGAATATGTTTTATTTTAATTATGAGTTAAGAGTTGCTGCTGCCTAGGCTAAGGTATCAGTTAAAAATGCTGTGTTCCCAGCTTTCATATTTGTGTTTGATGTGGTTTCTGTGCTCATGCAGCTTGGTGAAGCTAGGGAGGGCTCACCTTTAAATAACCTGCAGCTTCCTATTTTCGTTCTTGTTTTTTTTTTTTTTTTTGTTAAATCCTTAAGCACTGTTCCCACCCTTTCTTCCCAATATCCGCCTGACCGCCCCCCCACACCCCCCCCCGCCCTCCGCCCCATATGAAATGTGGCCTGTCTTCATTCTGAGCCTTTTGCGCCCTGAGTCTGGATTTCTGGCTGGTTTGCTGTAGGTATTTGTGGATGCTTCGCAGTCACCCAGGGCCCAGGCAAACTGACTGTGCATGGGAATCGGAGACCATGGCTGTGCAGCTGGTGCCCGACTCTGCTCTCAGCCTGCTGATGGTGAGTGCTCCGGGAGGAGGTGGGGCCCGGGCAGCGCCCAGCTCCAGCCTTACCCTCCCGCACCGTGGGCTGCCGCTGCAGTGCTGCAGACATGCTAAAAATCGCTCCGCTTTATCCCGCAGGCTCGTTGCAAATGATTTCTTGGGTGAGAGCATCAGCCATGACAAAGCACTCTCAGGGAAGAGAAGCCCTAGATTTGCCATTTTAGAAACTTGTTGCTTAATGCTATTTTGAGAGAGATGCTTGCAAACAGGTGCTAAGAGCCCCTGGAAATAGATTCCCACCGATGCCTCCCCCTGGCTCCTCAGCATCCTTCCCCCTCCCTCCCCTCCCCTCCCCTCCCCCGCTGCCTTTTGCATCTAAGTTGAGGTGATCCTGTTTGTTGATTTGTTTTTCTGTCATCTCATAGCAACCATGGAATTTTTTTGCCCACGGAACAATTGAATAGGATCTTCTTTCTAGGTGCCCACGTGTTTACTCCGATTTCCCCGGGGAAGTGGCCAAGGAGGTTGTCTGTGGCCTTTTTAACACTGGGACTGCAGAGCCACCTCCCAACTGTGAGTGCAGGGGAGACTCTGGCAGGCCTTGTCCAGGCCCTTGCCCGCATGTAGACCACTGACCTCCTTTAAGCCTCTCTGTGATTTCCATCCTGTTAAGAAGGCCTCGGCTCTTAGCCTGTCTGAGCAATACAGGGGCAGTGGCGTCACCTTGTTTTAACCTGATTGACTTCGGGCTAGGCCCTAGATTCAAGTTTGCTTTCGCTGTCGTGTTGCCCCCTTTTCCTCGCTGACTAGCTCACATGCCAGGGTAATGCTGACGGAAATAGCGGCATCAGGCTCCGCGTGTGAATGTTTCTAATAGTTACACAGGAGATTTTTACGGACAAAGCATAAGTGCTTCTGCTGAGTATATTGATCTGTGTTTTCTGACTGAGAGGGGGAAATACAGCTTTGTGAGGCCTGATGAGTTTGTTAAGAGCACTTGGAAGAGGAGCCAGTGGGGAGCCTGCCTCTTGAGCAATGAGCTGGGTCAAGTTAAGAGGGACGGAGATCATGGTTCTTTTTCGCCTCAAATGTCGTTTCGGCCCCAGAGCCATTTGAAACGGCTGGGATCTTCTGCTGACTTCCAATTCCACTGCAAGAGAAGTAGTCAAAAGAATTAAAGTTGTTTTCTGGAGAAATTACCCTGGTCTCCTCTCCCTTCCTTATACTTGTATTGTCCAATGATACTGTATCCAATGATACTGACCACTGATATGTCCAATGGTCACATAGGTGGATGGTTAGGATCTGAGGATTTCTGACTGACAGGTGATACAGTGGCAGTGTCTCTGAGGACCAAGAGACTCTGGGAAACCGGAGTCTGAGTCATGTGCAAAAAAATAAGGGCACATGGGCTCCTGTTCAGGTAGGCGTGTGCGTATAATCTAGTATGGCTTGACAGAAATAAATCTTGCATTATGTTAAAATAGGGAAGAAATGTGTTCTTAAAAATCAGCTGTAGGGAGAGCTGGGCCTGTTTGCCTCCACATTTCTGTCCTGATTTCTTCTCCATGCTTCTGAGCATTCGGGCGTGCACCTGTTTTACTGGGAGCCCTAAGGAAAAATCCCCTCGACATGCTGGTCCAGCTGCTTCTGAGACATACGCACTGAGGTTCTGTTCCTGGTGCTCCCAAATATTACGGTTGCTGTCCGGGAGGTCTCCGTGGCTCAGACTTTATCCTCTGTGTCAGCGGCCTCTGCCCTCAGATCTCTCCCTAGCACTCACCTCCTGCCCGGATTAAAGGACTGCTTGTGTGTCTCCCTCAGAAGCCGGGGGAAGTGGCTCTTGACATCACAATGGGACGTTAGATTAGAGAACCTTGGAGCACCATGTGTAACCATAGTCAGGGTGTGTTTTCCTGTTCACAACCGGTTCAGGGGGACTTTTCCCCTATGGACTTTGTTCCTTTTTTCATTGTTAAGAAGAAACCTCAACATAATTGCTTCCCAACTATTGCAGGATGAGTCTCAAAATGTATATAAGCAAGTCACTGAGGAAGAGAGGAGGAAAGGAGGCCATTTAGCAGAGTTGCTTTGGCCGTGAGTTCTGGAAGGAAGCTGTAAACATTATTATTTGTTAGCTACTCAAGCAGCCAATGAGTTCTCAGTATTTATGGAGTGCCTCTGCTAACTAAGAAGGGTAGCATAGTATAAAGGCCAGAGCTCATAAGCACCCCGTTTAGGGGGAGGTCAATATCAGATGGCTTGATGGGAGTTCTGCAGTTTCGTGGTATCGAGTCATTGGGCTGCAGGGAACCAGGGGAGTGGGGAGCGACTGGCCACACCCCTTGGTTTTGGATAAGGACACAGTCAGAGGTTATACTCCGTGTAGACTCGACATGATTCAGGGCAGAATACATTTATTTGGTTCTGCAAAGTGGCACCAGATCTGGAATTGGAGAGCCCTACGTTCTGTTCCCAGCTGTGCCACCCCCTGGGCGGTCCTGGATATGTCGCTTCCTTTTTCTGTGCCTTAGTTGCGTCATTTGCTTTCTGAGGGGGTCATGGTCCTCTGTAGGGTCCCTTTAAGCTCTGTTAAACATAACATAAGACCTCTAGGAATAGCGTCTAGAATAGAGGTCCTTGACGGGCAACTGTAACTCTTTATTCAGCATTATGTCTTAGTTGTACCCTAGGATATGGGCAGTGCTGCTTTTAGATGGTAGAATTTGTTCCCAACCATATGGCTTTTATGCCAGAAGAAGTGTTTTGTGTTATTTACTGGAAGGGGTGATCATTTGCATTTGTTCACGCTCTGTTGCCTGGGGACCTACCCCCCAGGGGAGCCTGATTTATTCTGCCGGACTAGAGCAGGTGACCTTTGAAAAGTACCAAAGGTGACTTTTCCAAGCTGGTGCTGGGTTTAGAGCCTCTGAAAGGGGTCCTGGGTTGTAAGCATGTGCCGACTGCCTTGAGGTGAGTGCATTTCACTGATTCTTTCAATGAAGAGTTAGTATGGGGCGGGTGGTGATGATCATCTATGCCACACAGAGGTCCTCAGACAACGAAGGGTGGACTCAGACAGAGGACAGATACTGGTGGTTAAGACCACATGCCATTGAAAAGCCCACCTCCTTCATTTTCGCAGACATTTTGGGAAGCAAGAAAAGACACCGTTGGGAGCCTCCAGCAGGATGTCACTAATTATAGAGCAGGAAGCTCTTGGCTATGTGTCATTTGCTGAAATCACATGAGTTTGGGGAACCCTTTAAAGGCTGGAATGTGCTAGGGCCAAAGATTTGTTGATCATTTCTCTAATGACAAGGGTAGAGATGGATAGCCATGGGGCTACAGAGGTGGTATTAGGATATTTTGGCTCTTAGATTCTGAAAGCTCAGATTAAGATATTTTAATGTAAGTTAGCTAGCTAGGCTATAGTGCAAATTACGATTTTCTGCAAAGCATCTTCACCTGTATTATCTCAATCCCTTCAACAATCCTAGTTTTAAGACAACCTTATTTGGTAGTCAGAATTTGAGAAACTGTCAATGGTCCCACGACTGAAAGTGATAGAGCAAAGTCTCACAATCAGGGTCCTCTGACGCTCAAGCCAGGGCTGACTTTGATGTCATGTCAAAGGTCGAGAACTTCACCACCAGGATCTTCTAACGCTTTGGATTTAGCCCATCAAGGGTGCCTCGTCTCTGAGCCATTCTGCGTGTTTCACATTTTAGGGTGAGTAGTTCCATCGTCTTGTTTATCTGCATTCTTTTCCATATTGCAATTTAAAATAAAAGGTGATACCATACATCTGGCTCAAGACATCTGCTTGGACTCTAGCACAAAAAAATATTTTTATATCCATAAGAGATTTTCCACGTTTTTGAGGTTCCATTCTCTTGCACATTGTTTGTAAGAAAATTGCCAAAAGTCAAGTTTTTGTGATAGGAAAATTAAATATGCAAAAACTTCAATTCGTAAGTCAGAGAAATTAGTGGGTGACTATTCTCAGTGAATGAAAGATGTGAATTAGATTATCTTGAAGAGTCTTTGTATTTCTAAAAATTTGATTTCAGATTTCTGGGATTCTCTTGAAGAGACTAGCTCTCTGGTCTGTTTGAATAGATTCTAGCTGATAACCTGCTCTTGTAAAACTTCATCTCTCTAGTTCATTTCATTTTATTATGGATTCGTGTTTCCTCAGATAGTTTCCTCCTTTGGAAATTTTCTTTTTTAGTTAACCAACCAATATTTGCTGAGTATCTACTCTGTACAGGGAGAATACAAGCCAGTCCGTGGCTTTAGTGAACTTAAAAATTAATTGAAAAGATGTACCACTGACTATTAGAATGGGAAAACTGGTTTAAGTTTAAGTAACATGTTGAAGAATAGAGGAGGGTAAATCTGAGGTGAGAAGACTGAATGAGTCCAGGCTGTTGGGAGACAGAAAGTAGACTGGTTTGGACAGGGTTCCTAGAGGTGACAAAGGCTTCGGTGGCCAGAAAGGCAGGTTAGGGGTATGACCAAGGTCCTAGTTCTATAACTGTAACATAATTTTCCTCTGAATTTGACCTGTGACAACTCTCTGTTTGGAATTTCTAATAGACCATGGACTTTCTGGGGCACCTGGGTGGCTCAGTCGATTAAGTGTCAAACTCTTGGTTTCGGCTCAGGTCAGGATCTCATGGTTTGTGAGAGTGAGTGCCACATTGGGTTCTGTGTGGATAGCATGGAGCCTGCTGGGATTCTCACTCTCCCTCTCTCTCTCTGCACCTTCCCTGCTAGTGCCCCCTCTCTCAAAATAAATAAGTAAACTTAGAAAACAAAAAAAAGACCGTGGATTTTCTCCAGATTGCGAAAGGCAAAAGGCATAGGATAAAATTAAAGTCTGTCCTAAGAAATCTTGCTCTTGAGTAATAATAATAATCCTTTTAATTTTCAAAGTGCTTTTGTGCCTGTTGTCAGGACAGGTACTGTATCTTTCTATTATATGGTAAAACTAAGATCCAGAGACGCTAAACAGCTTGCGCAAGAAGACTTGGCTAATTGTGATGGTTTCCATAACGATTAACCAATACATTTGAAAAGGTAATTTGACCCCTTTATAGAAATTTAAAGAATAATAATTATGTGGTAAGAGAGCATAGCCACCTGAAGCACTGTGCACAGAGTGGGGCCATGTAAGCTTGGGGCCCAGGGCAGGGGTCCTAGATATTCAGGTCTATAGTGGGTAGTGTTCTTAGTGTCATTTATCTTTCTGGTTTATTTAAAGTAGGATGATTGTGGGGGAGCCTGGGTGGCTCAGTCAGTTAAGCGTCTGACGTCACCTCAGGTCATGATCTCACGGTTTGTGGGTTTGAACCCTGTGTCGGGCTTTGTGCTGACAGCTCAGAGCCTGGAGCCTGCTTCAGATTCTGTGTCTCCCTCTCTCTGACCCTCCCCTGCTCACTCTGTGTCTCTCTGTCAAAAATAAATAAGCATTTAAAAAATGAAAATAAAATAGGATGATTATCAAAACATCCCTAGAAAATGTTTCTGTAACATTATATCTAAGTCAGTAGCTAAAATCCTTCTTAAACCCAATTATCCACCTTCTAAAATGGAATTTCCTAATGGGTATGTTTGAAATCTTGATACTAATAATTTTTGTAGTTAGTGTTTAGTGTACAGATTTCTCTCTCAGAGGGTGAAATTTAAAATCAATGAGTCATACTGCCTCTCTCAGGTAAGTTTTTGCTGACCGTATTTTTTATTTCATTTTATGTCTTTCTGGTTTTAAGGGACAGAGTTCACTCACACCAGCATTAAGAAAGAAGGGAAACGTATTGACTGATGAAACGTACTGACTCGTTCCAAGGAATGAAGTGGTTCCAGGAAAAGCTGGACTGAGGACTTTGGGTGACAGAGTCCAGACCCTGTTTCTTTGTTTCTCTCTATGTCTTTCTAATCTAGCAAAGATTCTACTTTGCTCTGTGTTAACTTTAGGCTCTAGCAGATTCTTTCTCTCAGCAGCTCCGGGATAACTTGTTCACAGAGCTGGTGGGCCCAGATAAATAAGTGGGACTTTCCTTATGAGGTCCTTTCTCAACATCCATTAGGCCCTGTTGGGTAATAGGTTTTGCCCCTGGCCAATCACTGGTTCTCTGACCAAGCGTATTGGCGTCTGTGTCTAGACCTGTGGGGAGAAAGGAGTTGGGTCACTTGACTGATAAGTTCACCTGAATCACATGCAGTGAGAATGGCAGGTTCCAGAAGGAGAAGAGCTCTTTTACTAGGAAGGAGGAAGGGATACTACCAAAGTAAAAACAATATGTACTCATTACAGTGGTCTTTGCAACTTGTATACCATTATAAGACTCCTATAAAACCAGTCGGGGGTCGGGGAGGGGGTGGGTAAAGCATCAGTGAACCCTAAATCATTGGTTCAGTTTTCCTCAAAATGAATATAAGTGGAAAAGCCCAATTGTCTAAATAGTTTATGGTTGTTTGAAAAGGTCTCACCATCTGTAAAATGGGATAATAGTAGCTACCATGTAATACTTGGGATAATTCAATGAGATATGCAGGTAAAGTACTTAGCATTGTTCCTGGATCAAAGTAAATACACAGTAAGTATTAGCAGTTGTTTCTTTATATTAAAATGATATGGAACTACCATCCCCCCAAACTCATCTCACTGGACTCCTGCATGAGCCAGAGTCCATCTAAAAGAAGTTGCCCAAGCCTGTCTGCATTCCAGTTTCTGAAATCAGGGACCACGTTGGACAACCAGCCAGTTGTTTTGGAAAACAGATGGACCTAGGATCAGGTGAACTGCTCCTGTCATGAGCACATTTAAATTTGCATTCCTGTCTTGAATAACTAACAAAATTTTCTTACCCTCTAAGGGAAGATGACTAAAATATGGGCTGCAATATGTTCTCTCTGGCAAATGCAAAATGCATGCCATCCAGGCTTGCTATACATGATTGGATGGCTATTAGTGGATCTCTGCTAAAAATTAATTGTGTGGCTGCTTTGCAAAGTTTAATAGTCATTTGGAGACCATATGTTACTGGTGCAGGTAGCAGTATCTCACTGAATTCTATGCCAAAATGTGAAGTCACATGGAACATATGGTATTTTGGCCTGGCCATAATCAAAGGTCCTGGAAACGTGATTGACTGAAACCATGGGGTACATACAGAGTTAGAAGACTAAATTCCAGTGTCAAGGTAACATTGGCCTATAGTAATGAGTGCTTTTTATAACCCTGGATATTGAAATTTTAGTCTCACTTTCCAGACCTGGAG